GTTTGGTGTGACGGGGATTCGAACCCGCGACCCTCAGATTGCGAGTCGAGGATTGCTCACTTGGCCTTTTTTGTAAGTTTTTTTTCATGTAACCAATAACCAATTTTAATTAACTATCTGGAAAATATGTAACTTAGAAAGTTACCTTCTAAGTTATTGACCATCAGGTTAATGGTATTATGTGTACACACATGCATACAGTAGTTGAAGTTTTGCATTTCTGTTTTCGTTAATATTGCCGCCACCACAAACTCTTGTATTTCTATTTTGAATAAGCTTAAGTGTAATCTAGGTGTTTTCACAATATATATGTTTCTTCTGATATTTTATTTGTGTTGATATATTTTTAGAGATGTGGGAACTTAACTCCCTCAGAAATGAAACTAGAGTTTTGTTACAATTTTGTGCTCTTATCACTTGAAAATAATAATACTTTGCTGACATAAGGATGGTAAGTTTTGTCAACTGTTCTTAGTGTTGGATTCTAAACTATGTTGAGATTTAATGTACTTTTTGTACTATATCTATTACTAATTTTAGATTTTTACCTGCTACTGTTCTACTTACAATAAGGCTGTTTGAATTTTTGTTTCAATACATATTGGTATATTTTGATGTAAGAAAGTTACTGATAGATTTGGCTTGTAAAATGTACTGTTTGTGGAACATGTTGGTGAAATGCAGACATGAGTGTAGAAAGATGATAGTGGGAATGACATTTATGAAGTATCTGTAATTTTTTAAAGTGATAGGTGCAAGCCTGCTGAAGTGATTTGGCAATTACAAATTTTTTCAACACCCTTCCATTCTCCAGCTTTTAAAACTTGTATAATAATCAGTGACTCCAAAAGATTGCTTGAAATGCAAGGAAGCATCTTGAAGTAGTTCCCATGATGCCTCAAATTAATTATTTTCTTGCACTTGTTCATTTGAAAAGAAACTACTCTCTCATAAAGGTAACATATAAATACAATGCTTTTATTATCCTTTACTGAATAAGGGTAATTGAGTATGATTATTCATATATATAAATAAATTCTGATATATATATATATATATATATATATATATATATATCATAAATATTTTGTGTTCACATCTTTGTTTTGGTTATTTATTTAAGGAGAGGGGTCTCTAAATTTTTCATGGTGTATTGTTAATGAATATAATTGTTTTTGGTTTTGATGTGGAACTTCATAAATGAAATATTGTTTTAACACGAAAGCATTGTTAGAAGTAAAACAGTTTTTTAATTTCTTAACTCCTATATCTCCAATTTAGATTGACCCATGAACCTCGTATTTTCTACAGTCATATAACTGCATATGCTAGAGGCTCTGTAAAGATAGAGTGCTACAGTTTAAAAATTAGTAAAATTTAACTTTATTTTAAAATAGGCAAACAAAAGTTATTAAGTTATAACTTCAATGCAACCCCACTCCTGGAAACACAAAGTAATCACTGGGAAGTTTTGGTTTTTGATTATCACGAATATTGACAAATATATATATAATTTATGTGAGTTAAGTAAATCTGAATTTACAACTATCTCTCTCTCTGTTAAATATATATAGATAGAGATATAATGAAAAAAATTTGTTTTTATTGGGAAAAGTTGTTAATAGATCTTGCTAATAGATTTATGACATACAAAAAAAATCATTTCTAAATATAATTGTCAGTAACATTTGTGATAATGGTAATTTTTATTACAACCAAGTTTATAACATATTCAGTATCTGGCCAAACCTGAAGAGTAAGCAATTAAACATATTCTTGAGAATAGAATATACTGAAGAATGAGAAATAAATATGACTAATGTTAAATGCATAAATCTTTTTATCAAAACAAAGGAGGCTTTTTCACCATATGCACATGTAAACAAAATAATGAATGTGTGTATGATCAATGATCTAATACTATTTTGTGGTATTTGATTGTTATGGTTTTTTTTATCATATTTCATATTTTACAAAAAAACTAACATTATACATTGTGTTACAAATATAATTAAATTTCTTAGAAATAATGAGTTTTATTTCTTCTGTGGTTAATTCTACATCAGAAATGTCACATAATATTATAAGTCATAGTGTTAAAAATAACATATCTGACATACCTTTTAATTTTCAAAATATTTTGTAAACCTCAGAAATAGATATAAAATTAGTTTCAACTATCATCTATTACTTATTTCAGTCTTGTGATGGCTGTGACATCTGTTACAGTTATGATAAAGTAGAATGCATTTTTTTCTGAATCGAATTATTTTTAGTGTATTAACTCCTTAAACCCAAGCAGGCTCTGCCAGCATCTGGTTGAAAATCCCAATTTACACCTTATAAGGTGACAGCATCTAATAACATTGACATCTCTTTATTTTAAAAGTAATTGAAACCATGCTATAATCCAGTTTTTATAAGTAGACCGGAAATTGTATACGGTATGGTGATAGTTATTAGGATATCATGAAAATAATTTTGACAGAACGAGCAAAAAACTGATGGATTTAAAATGTTAAATTAAAGTTTTTGTTTTAGTTTAGACGAAAAATATAACATGCTACTGTAAATATTTCCTAGTAAGCCTTTGATACTTAGTCATGTTCTTTGAATGGATTTTGTTTGTATTGATATGCTTTTTGTTACTAAGATTATTCCATAAGTTTGATGAGCCAGCTACTTGATTCTTCTAAAAACAGTATACTTCCTGCAGTGGAGTTGATATTAGCAGTTACTATGATAGGATAATTTTGTTGGCTGTATGGAACTGTATAATCATAGTTTTTATCTTTCTTTTTTTTTTTAAAGAAATTTTCAGTGACATTTTTTTTGGAGAGTTATTACTTAACTCAAAACATTTTTATGCTGCTCTGTGGGAAAATTAATATCAGTTATGTGAAACTTCGTAGCTTAAGTTCTTAATAAAACAAAAAGTCTTAAGTGTTACACATTATAGTTTACCATGTAAAAGTAATAAAGACGCTTCTTCAAAGTTGCATGGGTTAGATGTTGTAATGGACCTCACATCACGACAGGGCATTTAATGAAGTATGTATATAAGCGTGTGTGTTATTTAAAAGGATGTAATATAAAAGCAGTCAAAATAAAGTTATATGTTTATGATATACAAAAGGATGTAATGAGTCACTATTAGTTATACAGGTCATTTAAACAGTGTAAAATAAAAGCAGTCAAAAATGCTTATATGTGTATGTAAAAGCAGTTAATAATAATCATCTATACATGTAATGACTAGCTGTAAGGCCGCCAGTGGTACAGCTGCATGTCTGGGGACTTGTACCACTCGAAACTGGGTTTCAATACTCTTGGTAGGCAGAGCACAGATAACCCTTTGTGTAGCTTTGTGCTTAATCACAAACAACAACAATGACTAGCTGTACTTAAATTTAAAGTAATGTTATTTAACAGCAATGAAAAATGTCTATTTAATTGCCATCATATCTGAGGATGTAATTTAAAAGTAGTTTATAATAATCAGTTTTATACATGTCATGATTAGCCATATTTGTATAAGATATAAGGCAGTGTGGTGTAATAGTAGTCTAAAATGCCTAGCTGTATGTTTATATACTTTAAAGTTATCTAATGTAACAACAGGTAATATTAACTAGCCGTTCACTTTTATGACATTTGTTACATGTAATGCATTTGGTATTTCTTTATGCTACTAAACAGTTAATAACACAGGCCTACAATGGTTTTATTGTCTTGAAATTTTTACATGTTCCACAGTAATACCTGTATGCTGAATCCGAAAATTATATCCATTTTTTATCCATCATGTACAGATTTTTCACAAAAGGCCATAATCCAATACATAAAAGAAAGACCACAACACATAGTTGGAGACTAAAAAACGTAGATTTCACAAAAAAAATCAGGATGAATGAAGGTGCATAATCATTGGACATAAATGTTCTTCCCTTTTCTTGATTTTGTTTGTATTTTTGTTAACAACCATAATAATAAAAAATGTTCATTGTGTTAAACGAAATAATAATTTGATCTAAGTAAGTTTTTTTTTCCCAATTTGTAAAACATCCTTATTATTTTCAAAATCTGCATAGCTGAATTATGGAAAATCCATTATTAAAACCAAAACAACTTTTATGAAGTTTAAATTTGCAGGCCTGTTGTAATTATTAATATTTTTCAATGGATTTAAATTTTTATGAATTTGGGTATTTTTCTGCAGTGTCAAAATACAATTCAAGGTTTTCATTTTACAGGTTTTAACAAGACCTTCTGCAGCTAATAAGAACTTTCCCTTCCATGTTCGGACAACGCAGGTAATTATTTACTGTAAAATTCAGCTGATCAGTTTTCCCAGATCCAAGAATTTGCTGAATGTGAGCATAACATCATGATTAATAATTATGTTTATATTTGAATAAAAAAATCATCAAGAATCAAAGAGGGAAGTAAAAAAACTGATAAGATCTATATGAAAAACAACACATTTATTGCAACTGGTGTTAACTAAAGATTATTAGTGTTCTCAGCAATACAAGTGTAAATAAATTCATTTAAAAAAGCATTTTGTTTTTTTTTTAGTAATTGAGTATTGTTAACTGAACAGACATCTTATATCATCCACTTTACAGGTTGACATAATGCAACATAGTAGAAATGTTCGTGTTGAAGATAACTCCATTGACGATTTCATTCACCATCCATATGCTCCGTCTAACTCTGTAAACTACCAGTTAAACTATACATATTTGTTTGGCATTCAGGGTCAAGAAGCAACCATGGAAATGGTAAATATGGGCTAGATATTTTAAGTATGATATCCAATTTGATTTTTTTATTTTTGTTTCAGAGAAAATGTGTTAAAGATGAAATCCTTATGTTTCTCATTGCTATAAAGAATTGTGTTTTTGTCAGTAGTATGTGGGATTGTTTTACTAGTACTACTATTACATTATATATATATATATATATATACATCATCTTTAATTAAGGCAAAGCTGATGAGCAACTCAACAGCATTAATAGTTTTTTCTCTCATCCATTTAGGAACTACAAAGTTTGAGATTAAGATCACTACTGGGCCAGAGAGAAACCTAAATGAAGTGATACAAAAATGACGGTTATTTGATATTAATACACAAGCCATACTTGTTCATAACTGCTAGTATTTTAGGTTTTGTAATACCATATTGTATGGTATGTTAAATGATGACAAAATAAAGTACTTTATTCTAAAACTTTTACATATGATAAAACTTTAACATTCACTTTTGCATTGTACGAATTTACACTTCATCCATAATATGAATAAAAACATGGCTGTGGTAAACATTCCAACTAAACAGTTAGTTAAAAGATTAGAGGAATAATCAAGATTGAAATGAAATTTTAGACACCTATTAATTTACATATGCTATGAACATTCTGGATTAACAGTTCACAGGCACCCATCCTTGAAAAAAAAAAAAAATTTCATGAAAGATCAGACTTGCCAAAACTAATAGAAAGATTGTCTTTAGAAAGTCCACATTTTATGATCACTGGCTAAGTTTCAAGATAGTTCAGAATCTTTAATAATAGTGAGAAAAATTGATCTTCAGGAAACTCATAAATGTATAACAACAGATAAATGGCATTATACATAATGCTCTTAAAACTACTATAATATTAGAATCAATAGATAGATGGATGATAAGTTGTTTAAAGTCTTAGAACCAATAGATAAAGTATCAACTAAAGGATTAATTTTTTTAGAAACATCAGATAAGTATGAACAGTAAGTTTATAGTCTAAAAACCAATGGATACACAATGGAAAGGTTAGTTAATCTTTTCTATCCTGATGGCAGTACTAAATATTGCCATTTCTGAATTTCCATTCATAGAAAATTTGTTAAGTCAAAGATGTCACTGCATTTGAAACTGTAAAAGTAAATCCTGATTACTAATGAATATTTCTTAATGTAAATTGAATTTTTTAATGGCAGAGCTATGCAATATGTGCATTACAGTTGACCTCAAAATCAGGTTTCACAGATGCTTATTCTACAAACTGCACTGGTTTTGTGACCCAAAATTCATCAGTATTTTTCTTTTGTTCGTATATTATCTTATTAATTTCATAAACTAAGTGATTGTCCATAAAGAGAAATTGATATTCAACATTCAAGTCAATTTTATACATCCATATTTTGTTTTGTTTTTATCAACTTGAATTCAACAAACGTACACATTTTTCAGTAGTGATAAACATAATCACAGAAGTAATGATGGCATGCAGAAGCCCATAGTATTGAAAGAAATTTTCCAATAAAATATATGTTGTTAAGACTAATATAAGTAGGTTTACACACTGTACCTTAGTTATAAAAGCTTTTTTTGTATTATTCTCTTTAGAAATTATTACTAATCACGGTAGTGCTTAATATGTAGGGATGGGCCGGGAAAAAAAATGACCAATGCATATTATGTATTGCTCGTCATAATCTCAAATCTCTCTTATAACAATCAACAAAACTTTTATATACACCTGACTTAGATTTTTGAAGTTCTCAAAAGCTATTAAGACCTTCAGCTTAGGCAAAAAACATCACTAATGTAGTGAACTAGCAAGTAGCATAACAGCCAAATGTTCTGCTGATTATTCTGATTCTGGTGTCAGTAGGACTAGCATTTTAACTTGGGGAATGCAGAAGCAGTATAGCATTTCACTAACTTCAACACATGATGTCCATCAATACAACTCATCACACGAAGCTAAAACTGCTGCCATTAATTATACAATATTCATTGGTATTGTTTAGAAAAAGGGGAGGAAACAAGTAATAAAAATTAAAAAAAAAGAATGATGTAGGGATGGCAATGCCAAAAATGACAGAAAAAAGTTAGGTATGAATACACAAAACCATATGTGTATTCATAGGGTTAATTTGAATGCCATAGTTAATTTAAAGGAAGATGTAACCATTTGGATAATAAGAAGGTTAGAGACAAACCATTCTAATATAGATAAGTAGGAAAGTTATAATTTGCACACATGGACACATTGAAGATCAACAGAATGAGAAAACACTCATAAATAATCACTAGAAAGGTTAAAGATTGAGATAGCTCACAGAAGATCATTGGGAAGGTCATATTATTTAAGTAAGCTTGCACATGAAATCTCTTTAGGAAAATCATAGGTTTTATGCTCTTATAGATGGTTAGATAAAAGTTCAAGAGCCTAAAATCAGCAGGTAGACCTTTACTAGGGAGATCAAGGTTGTATAATCAGTATCTGGAATAAATAGATGGGTAGTGATTTGTTAATTGTAACTTAAGTGGGAAATTTTGGTACATCATATATAAACTTCTTAATCTTACTAGAGTAAAAAACATGAGATTTTTACATAAAGCTAATATTCTATTATGAATTGTGATTTTTTTGTGATAATTGTATTTTTCACTGGATTATATTGTATATGTTCTAGAAAGTTACTATCCTTGTTATTAGTTCTTTACAGTGTTTAAAAATATGCATTTACATTTCATTACTGTTCTGTAATTTGCTCACTATAATTTATTTCATTTCTGAATGTTATTTCAGGAAGGTTGCTTGAAGCAGCAAGTACAATGACCCTTCTTCTCCTGTTGATTCTTATTGCAAAGGGATACACTATCACAAGAGGGCGTCTGAGATCAATGACATCAGCTAAAATAGGAATATTCATGACATTATATACAGTAATATATTCAGCATTGTTTATATATGAAAAAAAGGTACATGAAATAGTGAATTTTATCTAGTGTAACATAACTCTTATCATTTTCATTATAAAGTAGGGTTTGAGCTGACTGTTTAAATTATTTAACAACTTGGTAATCCAATTTGAAAATTTTTGTCCAAAACTGAATACATCTGTACCTAAATTGTACAATAAACTGTATAAAATCATGGGTGTGAAACAAAAGAAGATTAATACAAGTAATTTAAGTTTATATTTTTTTCTTAAAATTTTATTATTATACATCAACAAAAACTAATATTGTCACAAAATGCTTTTTAATTTATGTATTCATTAATATGAAATCTCACCATAAAATTTTGCAGCTTTTGTCTTTTTACAGTGCATTTTCCAAATCAGTTACAGCATATATTTGATATTTATACCTATCTGTAAGTTATACACAATATTTTATGTATATTACAAAAATATAATTTAAAACAATTTCATTTAGTTTGCTGACACTAGGCACAAAAGAACACAGGCTTGTTGTCATAAGATTCCTGAAGATGTAACAGTAAACTAATTGTATCCATTTGTTCACTTATTTACCAATTTATTATTGTTGGACACCTTACTATTAATCATACTTAGATTTTCATTCATTTTTTTTTATGTTGTTCTGTGTCACTTTTGCACTTAGAACACCAAATCGTGAGTCCATTTTTATTATCCTCCTCCTTCTATTTAATGTAAGAATGAAACAAAAAATTACCATCTGGAACAACGTGGAAAAATATGATGTCATCCATTACTCTGCATTGTGATGACTCTACACGTGAAAGAGTTTGTTAAGTATGCATGCACTAATGCATTAAATGATTTGTAATTTGGTAAATTTAATATTTTGTTTTACTTATAAAACTTTACACACATTTAGTGTTTGGTGAATTTATAAGTGACAACTTAATCTGTGTAGCATATTGATATTAATGTTGCAAACATAACCAAAAAGTTTTTACATATATTTAGTTTTTATTGAGCTTATAAGTGAGAACCTAATCTGAGTAGCATATAATTATTGTTGCAAGCATAAATTAAAACTTCAGTTTTGTCTTCTTAATTATCTTGTTTGCATTGTATCTAGAAGAAGAAAAAAAGAAATACACAAACTTCACCTCCTTGTTTCTGATGGTTTTAAATTAGATATTTCATTGAATATTTAAGCTTATACATTAACCTTCACATGATCTAAAGGTTTGGTACTCTTAAAGCAAAGCCCAAGAACAAGTTGTTATTCATATGCTTAATAAAAGACAAAGATATTTCTGAGACGATAACTCACCTTCTCACATAGCTTAGCTATCTTCCTCGTGCATCTGCCTAAGAGGTTTCCATACTCTAGTCATGAGGTAACTCCCATCTAATTTCACTTGTTTGAACATGAAATGCACTGGTGTGTGCTGTCATCATCATGTGACAAAAGCCCTCCACCACTAGGAGTATGACACATCCTCCATGCACAGTAATTCCTCCTGTGCACTTGTGATAACTTCATTCTTCTCCTTGGCATTGTATTGAGCAGGCATGTTTAAATTTTCTCATTTTCGTTTTCTGTGGGTTTTGCTTCAAAAGCTTTACTTTTTTTATTGTGAATTCACAAGTATAAGTGACTTATATTTCATCCTGTATGAGTGATGTTCACACATAAGCCTTCTTCCTAATGTGGCTTCTGGTGGCTCATTCACTATTACGACACTGCAGCCAAATTCTTTCTCCTCAATCAGAATTGTACTATTGGACTACCACTTTAACTTAATTTGCTTTGGGTTGTGCCCTACCATTCAAGAAATGACCTTAACTTTCCAATCTCTTTCTAGATTTCTTTTCCAGGTATGTCTCTCTCCTTATCCTTTGTCTGTGTTCTTTATTGTTTCTCATTCTTTACTCCACGATTCACAATTCTTAGGATTCTTCTTGCTTGTTATTAGGATTTATACTGTTTCCTTTCACTAATGGCTCTTCTCTCACACCTGAATGTGTCATTCCCCTCATGTTTGTGACTACTGTTATTGAAAGTTGTAGACTTTCTTCCTTTTCTTTTCTTGATTCGCTCTCCTTGGTATCTTTTTGGCCAGATTAGTGATTGGACCCTTTACCTTCTATTTCATTTTCTTGTTCCCCATTTTCATTTTTTTCTCACTACCCTCCTGCATTCCCTCTTCTAACTCTGCCTTTTATCTGAAGCACTTCATTGTGCTTCAGATGAGTTTTCTTTAGATGTTTGTGCCCTTCTTTTTGCCAGCTTAGCCTGTTCCACTTCTTCTGTTCTATCCCTGCTTCTTTTGTTCCCCTGCTGTTGGGAATCTCACTCAGGTTACATTCTTCTTTACTGTATTCCTTCCTCCTATTTCTGTACCTGGGATTTATCAGGCTCCTTTTCTTTACCTCAATGTCTTCCATGGTGTTCATTTCTCCCTGGGGGCCTGGATTGACTTTACACATTATCTTCCCAGGTTTTTCTTCTTTCTTGACCTGGTCCTTTCCTCCTGTTCTTAATGTGGATCAACCTTCCCCTAACCTTCTCATTTCAGGTTCAAGGCTTTCCTCTTTTCCTAGTCTTCCCTTTACCAGAAATATACTTCGTCACTCTTCTTGTCAATGACCATCAGACATGTACTAGCCTTTACCCGCAATATTCATGGCCCAAGGCTGACATTCCTTTTCATGCATGATTGACTTCTGTTTGCCCTTTCTTGGGTGGTTTCCTCTTCTCACACCTCCCTTCTTTTTATAGGTGGCTATTCAGTAGGAGGGGGGTGACTGAAATCTAAATCCTTTCTCTTGCCCACTCAAAATTTGGTACTTCTGGGCATTTTCCTAATTTCTTGTCTCAGCTGAGTTCAGCCTTCTTTTCCTCACCTGCTAGCTATGGTGTATCTGGTCATCAAGTTTTGAGGTTCTTTTACATTTGGGGACTCTGGCTTCATTGAAATCCCTCATTTCTTTAGAGCATGCACATGTGCCTTCTACAGTGGACCATTTGGATCGAAGGATTTCTTTCTGAGATTCTGTTGCCCTCATTTGGGAACTTCTCCTTGAGGACTTGTCATGGTGACTGGTCTATGCCCATACTTCTTCCAGCACTTCCTTACTGCATCTCAATGTGCTTGACCTTCTTACTGTTTGTTGGGCACAATTCCTGTTCATGCCTCTACTGGTGGATCAATTGATCATGTTCCACTTAGTTCATTCCACAGTTTTTTCTTGTGTAAACTGTCTGAGGGACATCTATTCCGGAGCCCTTTTCTTTTGGGCATTGGATCTACACTTCTGGACCCATTTACTCTAGGTTTGGTATATTTCCTGTCCTTTGCCATGAGCTTAGAACTTGTTGGTGGGCTGCTTCTCGTGGTTGGGCATGCTATTCATGGATGTTTTTGACACCTTTCTCTATCCCGGGCTTCCTTTCTTCTGGTCAACTGTTTGTCATACTTTTGCTATGGATGTGAATTTTCTCAGTCAGCCCTTGGCTTACATCTTTCTATTTACATATTCCCTTAGTTGTCTCCTTTCTTGGGTCCTTGCATTGATAAGTGACACTCCTTGTGGGATCCCATTGTTGATGCATCTTTAGCCAGCTCTACTTTGGTTTCCTCTGCTTCTTCACTTATCATTTACCCTCCACCCTTCTTCTACCCAATTTCTCTCTCTTTTGCTTCACCCTCACATGTCCATTTTTCATCGTGGGATGTCTTTATGTGTGGGATTTGTGTGATTCATTGCCCATTGGGCTGGACTTCCCAATAGTGTGACATTTTCCTGTTACCCTTCTGTTGTGTTTATCTATCAATGAAAGTGGTGGGTTTTTCATTGTTGCTCCATCTGCCACTCCTTTCTTCCTGACAGTCCTACTGTGAACCACCTTTCTGTCTCTTTACCCAGCTGTTTGTCCATGCTTTTTTCAGTCTTTGCCTTTGTTGGTTATTGGGCAGCATTGTTTTTGGCATTTTGCTTTTTCCAGTACCACAGTATGTTTCTTCCCCTGTACTCTTCTCTCTGTCATGCCCCTTTGTTCTTCTCTGACCTCTTCACCTGACTCCTGTTCCTGGCTGAGACTTTAATGGAGACTTGCATACTCTCATGCATGTTCAGTTTGAGCCATTGTCTTCTTCCTTTTGTATCATCTTTCTCTCCATACTTACTTCTACTTTTTTTGCAACTGTGATTATCATCATTCTACTGTCTGTGCAATGGATGCTTCTTGCGCCTTCTTCCATTGCTCTTATATACATCTCTCCTTGTACCGATCTTCCCTTCAGACTTCAACTGCTCAGGAGGGTATCTGTACTTGCTCTCCTAGCTTCCTTTCTTCTGGCTCACTGACTTGGTATTTTTTATCTGGATTGTTCCTGTGTCCTGTTTGAGCTTTTGAGTGTTCCTTATCACAAACCTCTCTCTTTTGGTGTCCCTACTCTGGATTTTCTCATATTCCAGGAATTTTGTCTTTCTCCTTTATTGGATGGGCCTGTTAACTTCTTCAGTTGGTTTGCTTGTCTCTGGTTATAGATGCTCGCAGGCTATTTCTTCTCATTCAATTCATCGCTTTTCTCATTGTCTCGTATCTCAACATCACTGGCTCTGGGACGAGATCCTCCAGGTGGGCACGTGGAAAACTTTCAGTGCATATGCTTCTCCTTCTCTACACCATCTGGCTGTTTTCTCTTCTGATGGCTTTAGGCTTCCACTGGTCACCTTTTATCAATCACCTCACCTTCTTTGAGAGGAATTTGTATCATTTCCTTTCTCAGGGCCCCTTTTACTTTCATAGGATTCCATCTGGTGGCTGATGTTGCCTCCCGGGATATATTTACCCAAAATCTGCATTGAACTAGGATAATGGAAAGCACTCATACCAACTGCCCCAGCTCTACCAGTGCCCACATTGAGATGGGGCATTCCACAAGACCACTAGTGGTATACTCATGGTATACATATGTATTCAATTGTATGATCCAGATAGTACCTATTTCATGAACTAGCATGCAACGTAAGTCTGCCACCCTTGCTGCTTACTAGTTCTTAGCTGCTGGGATGGAGGACCATGGAGAATCCTCACAGGTTGGGCTCAGCACAGTGCAGTGAGAAGTGGGACAGTGGTGATACTGTCAATGTAGTGCGGATCATTATTGTAAAACATAATGCATACCACTCATGCCTTCCTCCTGCAGTCTGAGCCTGTTCAGTTGAGGTTAGCACATAATGAACAGCAAATATGATCCAAAACTATTGCACCCTCCTCATGCAGCCAGAGTCTGTTCAGTAGAGTTGAGATGAGCACACACACACACACTATAGGAAATCATACAGCATAACTATTGTGCTTTTCTACTGCAGCTGGAGTCTGTTAAGTAGAGTCAAGATGAGCAACACTGTACAAAACAAAATTTCATATCTAAAGTGCCCTTCTGGAATCTGTTCTGTAGAGTCTGTTCAGTAGAATTGAGGTGAGCACACATTATACAGAATCGTAATGCATCACTAATGTGCCTTCCTCCTGCAGCTGGAATCTTCCCTGTAGAGGCTGTTCAGTAGATTCGAGGTGTGCATGTACTATAAGACACCATACTGCATAACTAATGTGCCCTACTTCTGCAGTTAGAGTCTGTCCCACAGTCTGTACACTATAGTTGAGATGAGCCCACATGGTATGAGCTGAATGCACCCAAACCACACTACACATACTGGCTTACTAACCACTTGTGTACAAGTGCTCAGGTGGTCATGTTTTCATTCCGTGTGTGCCTGCGACACATGGGATTTATTTGCCTCTTCCCTTCTTATATTCAGGGTGAAGAGTATTCCCTGGTTGAGATGAGATGCAATTTCCCACGGGTGTGCCCCTGTGGAGCCCGTGTCATCAGTGGTCACTCTCCATGGACTTTCCTTCTGGTGCTTTTTGAAGGAAGCTCATCTAGGTAAAATTTTGCATTGGCTCCTCCACTAATTCAGTGTGGTATTCTAACTAAACTGTGTTATTTCCAATAGATACTCACCTCATCACGCATTCTTACTTGACCTCCTCACTTCTGATGCACATTTTATGTCATGCCTCATCAAAGAATGAAGCCATCATGAGTGCATAGGGGAGTTACTGCACATAGAAATTATGTTGCTCTCATAGTGATGAAGAGCTTTTGTTGCATGATTACATCATCAAGCACCAGCACAGTTCATGTTAAAATGTAAAATTAGGTGGGAGTTGCTTCAAGGCTAGTGGCCTGCAAACCATTTAGGAAGATGACTAAACTGTGTGAGTATCTATCAGAAATACATTTTTCAGGTAAGGAAAATGTTAACTTTAAACAACTGTGAAATTTCTTATGTCAATTCCAAGTCCTGAAAATATTCTATATTTGAAATCAATACATTAATTCTCTGTGCATTCTGTGGTATCTGGAACTCTAAAAATGGAAGAGGAAGGGTTAGAGAGTTCAAAACTTATAAAATAATTGGTAGCGAAAGGTCATGGCCTTACTTATGACTGATTTGATAGGATTAGTGGTTTATTGAATATTTAAAGCACCTGGGGTTAGTTAATGTTTGAGAAGATAGAGGGTGGAAAGGTGGTTTGAGGCTTTCTTTGTGTATGAGTTATTTGAATAGATTAAAAGTTTCAGGACTTATTAAATACTATTTCAAAGCTTACTGAGCACTTGAGGGGTGAAAAAGCTTTGGGGCTTAATAATTTTGTGGGGGTTGATCTGATTGTGTAACTTGAATAATATTTTGCTAACTTAATAATTTGTAATTTTTTGATTTGTCATTAAAACATCATGCATTCGAAAAATTATATTTTTGTATGATTTATCCAAAACTGATAGTTTAGTAACCTGTTTCAATCTTCTCAAAATCACTCGGTTAGAATGCCCATTCAATTGACACACATTAAAAGCTTTCCAAATATGTATATAGCATCAAGCATTGCATATTCAAAAATGATATGTATCCATAATTTGTATTTTGGAGAGAAACAGTTTATTTCTGTAGGTAATTGTTTGGCTTTTGTAAGATCACTGTTTAATAAATGCTACTACATTTTTAAATGTTTTAACTTCTTGATATATGATATTTTAGGTGAATATAATTTACATTTTAGGTACTTGTAATTTCTTGCAGTAACTTCTTGTACTGTATTATAGGTGTTCGATCCTGGAGAAGTGCTCTATATATATGATAGTCCAGCAGGGTATGGATTAGTGGGCATGCGGCTGGTGGGATGGAGTTGGTTTGTCTATGCTACTGTTTTTACCTTGTTGCATTACCCAGAGAAATCAGCTTTTTATACAAAACTCTTTCTCATCTACACACTTTGGTAAATAAACTGTTCCTATGCAATAAATGCAGTAGAAATGTATAACACGTGTAATATTACTATACTCAACTTCCAAGAGAAAAAGATTATTTCATGTATTGTAAACTTAGTTTTCTTTATATCTATATTTAAAATGTTACATAAAGCAGTATGTATTAAAACAATAGCTAATTGTGATCCATTTAACTGTAACTATAAACAAGTATGCTATGGATATGAAAATTAATGACAAATACAGTATTTACTCAGCAAAAAAGGAATTATTTATGTTTTTTCAGAGACATTACAGATAAACAATTAGAAATAATACTTCCTGTGACTTAACGCTTGTAAGAAGATAGGTAAAATTTAGTATTTCCACGTAAGCATAACAGGATATCTTATAGTGTTAAGTTCATTTTATTACAGCCATTGACAAAAAATATTACATAGTTGAAAAGTGAGTACCTTGTATATCTCATTCATTTCATTGTATATTAGCATGAGTAAGGATTTGAATGTGGAAGCTAGCAAGTATTTTCTTTTTTACCATATAACCTTTAAAGTGTGCACCCTTAATAACTTCAGACTAGTTGAATATATATAGATGTACTCCAACAGGGTGTTCAAAAGTATTCTATTTAAAGAGTAAATAAAACCAAAATTAAGAGTAACATATATTTTTATTTCTTTCTTCTGAAGGTCATGCTGTGTTGTATCCTACAGAGTGCCTAATTTTTCTCATGATTCATGGTATGCGCACGTTTTACTGACGTCATGACAGTACAAATTGCAGTGTTAAACATGCCTTATGTGATGTCATTTTAGTGTCTACTAACTGACTGACAGACAACACACTACTGCGAGTGATTAAAACAAGTAACCCCCTCCAGGTGGCTTTCGGCCTCCTTTGAGGGAAATTATGAAAATATTATGCATATGTCTTACTGTTAATTCTAAGAATCATATTTTTAGTGACCACAGTGATACGCTAGTTCAGATATCTGATCTTT